TAGAGAGGTCTTCAGGGTTGACTCAGCTGGGATTATAAGCAGGAAGTAGACCTGAAAATGAGTTAGCGCTCGTATTTAGATAGTACGGAGTGCTTTCGAGGATAAAATGATGTAGGGGGTAAGGGTATCGCTTGAGGCCTGGGCAACCAAGGTCATCAACTCCACTTACATTAGCATAGAATACACGCGAAACGAGAAAAACGAGAAAAGTCAGATACCGAAAAAATTTCTTCTCAAATACTGGCAAATACTCTTCCCCCCTCTCTATAGCACCACATGCTGCCTCTATCGCGGGAATCTCCAAAGTACTACCTGCCCTGGTACTTGAGGGTTCGGATAGATTAGCTAGCTTATTGAGATGAGACTCTGACCGATTCCAGTCCTATATTCGATTGCGGGGGTACAAGGTACGTCAGCCTTGAAGACCATCAAAGATGGTCTTACCCTACCGGGAATGAACATCCCGATTCGCTCACAAGGTCTTTATCAAGGCACATGGTTTCTGCAAATGCTGCTTCTTAGTATTTCTTGTCTAATTTAGACGTTCTCCCGCTCACAGACTCCTTCTTGGAAAGTTGTGGATAATTGTAGGTAAGATGCTAAGAAGTAGGTAAAGCATGTAGGGACGAACTTTGACATTTGGGTGCAAAGGAGGTAGAAATGTGGGGAGAAAGTGGCAGTGTTAGTGGAAGGGGAGGATTTTGGCACCAGCAGTAAAACGGAGAGAAGATCTGAGTGACGGATTTTTTCCGTCACCATGGGAGCCGTGATGGCCCAGTTCACAGGTATAACACTATTTTTACCCATCGTTTTGCATCACACGGAAGGCGCAGTATGCCAGGGGGGGGGCATTTTGCACTTTCGTTGCTTCACTAGTTCTGGTTTACAAGTCTCACTCTGGTGAAACCTGTGAACTCTTGTGAAGCTGGAGCAAGCTCGTCAAGCCATCATGGTAAAACCTGTCAACTCGAGAGAGGCTGTCTAGATGGGTCGACACGTCGATGGGAAGTCGTTAAAGTGCAAAATGCCCACCGTCGACAAACAGCGCCTCACACGGAATTCAGTGCCGGCTACAGAAGAAACGTTACGTGAAATGAAGCGCTCATAAGAAGCCGGGCACTTGACCTGTCCTTTTCTAATGAAATTGTTGGTCCCCCGAATTCGGCCCCATTCATGTTCTCGAGCAATTCTGAAAATGTCTTAATGCTTATTTTGAGCATGAGTCTTTTGAATCCGGTTCGAAGCTGAAAATCCAAAATTTTCAATGTCAAAAACCATCATTCAACTTTTTGTCAAAACATTTCGATTTTTTTTTCGTGGAAGAGAAAAACAGGATCGTATCGTCTGCGAATTATCGCTTGAAAACATCGCAAATGGTTGTTATTTGCTAGAGAAAAGGGCACCCATGGCAAACCGGATTGTTGTACAAGTCTTTGTGATCACCTTCAAGACCTTGATTTGTTTGTCTTTCCTGGGTTCGAAACAGCCCCTCCTTTTTCTACTTGAGGTTGGCGCAGAAAGTGGGGACTTCAAGAACATAAAAGCCCAGTCATTTTTCAAATGCAGATTTTGCAGGGCACTACGAATTTGATTAAATTCGTATATAAGCCCTAGATATAAGGGAATCTTAGAAGAGGATTCGTTTACAATAGGTGAAGCTGCAACTACAATAACTGGTTGTGACCTCATCTGCTCGTTGCGTGTCTCATTTACCACCAGCCTGCCACCGTCATGGGCCCTCCACAACGCCCCTCTTGGCTAGAAGACCATAGCTGGTCGTTGGTGGGAGCAACTAGCCTAATCCATCGTGCAGCTTTCCTAATGCCTTTCTCTATTACCGCTCCCCCTTGCAGAAGAGAAGCCCACACAAGGGAAACCCGGTAGAAGGCGCCAGGTACGGCCAGCATACCAAAGCGTTGAAAGAATGGCCTATTTACGGCAGAGTTTATCTTTAGTCAAAAGTCTACTCAGTACAGCGAACCTCATTTCATTTCTAGATTGGCCTTGATTTCAGGACCAGAATATCGCGGACGCCTTCTCGTCACCGGGCTATACCGACGACAGAATGGTGAATTCCAACTCCAGGGTGCAACTGTGGAAACGACACCGATCGATCCTATTCTGAAAATCTATCATGACTGCAATGACGTCACAGGCTTCCTCAGCGTTCCTAAGGTAACATTTTGTTTAAGATCTTGAGACCTGCCTTTTTAAGCGCTGCTTCACCGAAAGGCTGTGGTATCTGAGTTAGAATCTGGGGGGAGGGGAACAGCAGTAATTCTAGCGCCATTACATGGATCTACATAATTCTGTATCCACATTGGGTGGCAAGCTTGTGCCCACGACCTTCCGCCTATCAACTGAAGATTGTCTGCCCCCTCTATAGTCCAACACAGCAACGGGCGCCGGCGGGGGGCGGGGGGTCCCGTGTGGCGGGGCGGCAGGAGGGGGGGGGCGGTGGGGGGGGCAGCGTCCGATGGGGGGGCGGGGGGCGTAGCTGTGGGTGGGAGGGGGTGGGGGGGGGGGGGGGGCCGGGCAGCGGGGGGGGGGGGCCCGCGTGTGCCCTCCTAAGGCACGTATGCGCTGAGATCATCCAGTTTGACTCGGAAACAGGCCTCAGCATTGTGCTTTGGCTCTCCAAAACGGCCTTCCTTGTCTGAACAATGACAGGCCCACAAAAAGGTCCAACAGCGGTGGAGGGTTCGCTAAGTCATCCTAGGAAAGGCAGGGTTTATCAGTTTCTACCTCTGCCATCACAAATGTGCTAGAGACTGCATCTAAGTTCTAACCGAAATGACATATTCTCTTCACCGAAATCATTCGGAAAATTGAACAATCAAACCATTGATCTAATTTCAGCCGGGAAGTCGAAAAGTGAAATTCTCGCTACCAGACAAATACATCACCGATGGTATGGTACCTCGAAAAACGATGGATATCGGTGCTGTCAATCTGGAAATTGAATTCTTGGACGAAGAACGAGAATACATCGTTGATTAAGAGACTCATCAAATCTACAGGACCCCTCCAAAATGTTGGACTTTTTGAATTATTCTCGTCACTTCATCTCTTCCAGTATCTCAAATTGTTCCTTGTTGGACAACGTCGAAGCCGGTGATTTGCACGAAAAAAGTAGAAAGCTTGAATTATCAGAGCAAAACGTGCCCAAATTACCGGCTTCGATTGTATTGAAAGTACAAAATTACTTTGAAAATCTGAAAGGAGTGCTTTGATACTCTTGTTTGTGTGAGTTATTTTGTCACTGTTATAATCTCACTATCTATTTTTGCTACACGATTGATAAAATATTAACCTTCTTTTGCATAAGTCATTTTGTAGTGAAGCACATGAAACAAACAACTACAGATACAGGTGATGGTTGTCGCAATCAATTGAGGTGACGCCAGAAGCATGGAATGAGCTCGCCCGCGGAGTTTTCTATCACTTAGTGCTCTCTTTCCAAACCAATCCAGCCATCTGTAGAAAACGCACGCTGCGGTGGCGCTCCTCTTCCCCTGACTCCGCCCCGGCTATTGCGATGCAATTTGCCAATAGCAAGGGGAATAAGAAAGTGAAGAAGATGCTGCCTGCGAGAATTAGTCCAATACGGCTTCTACGTGCAAGAAGTATGGCAACAGTTGTGACCTAGTCTCGGTCAGTCCAGGTGCCTCCCACCTGCCCCCATTCCCCATTTAACTTAGACTAGCGAGAGGTTCTTAGTGCTTCTCCCCCACCCCCATTCCCTTTACTTAGCTACAAGAGGGATTTTAACGTGGCCAGGTAGGACACTCAGCTTTCCCGTATTGCAAAAAAAAAGCTTCCGAATACTGAGACAATTTGCCAACGTAAGTTTTAACTCAAGACAGTAACTATTAAGGTATGAATGGTACAAATTACTCTTGAGTGAGAGAACACTTATCTTCCCAAATCTCTAGGTGCGGCTGTGGGAGACGAGCTGGAAAACAGTCACTTTTTGCTCCAGGCTGCGTAAACGCGCTTCGATCCAAGTCCCTTACTGTAAGGAGATCCACCACTCCAAGTTGCATATGAAGTGACGACCACGTTCACAAATCACCTTTCTACAAGTTACGAACCACGAGGTTCATAACTTGTAGAAAGGTGATTAACATTGACTCTTTGGCTCATAATGTCGCCAAAGAGTCAATGATTCCCGGTAACTTGTAGGCGAACAACGTTCAAAGTTCATCCGTTCATACCGTTCCCAGTTATTCTTCGGGGAGAATGGGAGAGGGTGCTTCGTCGTTCTGTAACCAGGGAGGTCACGAAAGTGCTAGAATGAGCCTACAGCTTCCTGGAATGAGCCACATGTAGGGTAGGTTACTCGCACTTTGCATCAGAGATATCATTACCCTACGGTACATCTGGCATGTGTGAGCTGGAACTATGCGCGCTTCGGAGAAAAAGTAGTCCTTGCTTGCTTTTGCGCTTTGATTTGTCTGAGGATCCGACAGCAAACATTTCAAGTTGTTTTCAAAACAACCAGGCCTTGAGGTTCGGCTTCCTCGTTGTTCATTCACCTCTGACCACAATTCATTGACTCACTCGCCTTCCGCTTTGCTCTTAGTACGGGATACGCTTGAGTTGTATTGTGTATCCCCCAGAAATGTCTACTTCATCCCTTTTGAAAACTATGGACTTCAACACTTCTCTCCATTCTCTACTTCTCTTTCGCCAGGACTATCGTACTATCGCAGTTCCGTCCCGCCCGCCCTGCCTTACGGTGAGCACTGCACAGTACCTTAACTTAGCCCAGAGTACATCAAAGCGTCGAAAAGTGGTCGTTCAGCACGACTGCCCAACCTCTGACAGCTGTTGTCCCTAATCCCATCCACTTTGACTCAAAATTTCGAATCCGCTTACTTTGTTACCTCTGGTTCCCCGCAAAAACCGCCACCCGAGGGACGAGTTGATACATCAT